TATTGTGCAAGAATCCCTTAGAGATTGGTCCCCTTAGAGATTGGTCCTCAACTGATAAGCTGTCTTTGTACGGATCTGGGAATAGTTAGAACACCACATTTTAAAACATTTCCTTGGGGACCCATCTGCTTTGTGTTATCTTGTACTGACTCCGTTTTTCATCACGAGCTGAGTTGGCCCCCAACTTCAATGTGAAATTGGGTTCTAGTCCATAAAAATTCTATATGTGAAATTTCAGAGAGCTGTTCTTAAGCATGAGCGCGAACTGAAAGCGTTGGAATTACAGATTTTTCTTATTTTGATAAACATTTGGACTCGTAGAACGTCCCTTTCACCTAAAATTAATTCATAAAAATAACGGATCGTAAGAAGTATGCATACCTAACAATTGAGTTTGAAGCTTCTAAGAAGTATGCATGTAAGGTGAGAAAGATAAAGAAATCACCATGATTGTCTTGGGATGTGACTTTATGACCAGCAATATGGGCAAGATAAACCATGCTTATATCCTGTAGTATGCTTTTGGTTTTGAAGCTAGAAGTTGCAGTTAGTTATTACCTAAAGTGTGAACGATAATCCTTTGTATCTTTTTTCTTATTAAACATATATGTACTCCTATTTCTGATTCTGCCAGAGTTTCATACTTTTTCTCATTTTACTTTCAGTCATCCATCCCTATCTTTTACCTGTGGTTTGTATTACACATGTTAAATATCTAAGATGGCAAGATCCTTCATTGTATAACAGAGATTAGGTGGACCGCATGGGATGACGATGGACTGGCAAGGTGCGCCTGCGAGCCCTAGTTCCTTCACTGTGAAAAGGATTTTACGTTTGGAAATCCCTGTAGATACTTACCCCAATGTAAGTCTTTTGCATACTGTTAGCATTATTGTCGGTTTGATTGGTTGCCATGTAATAAATAACTGAACGTTTTGGTGCATAATGGATGTCAGTTCAATTTTGTTGGGCGACTTCTTGGACCGAGAGGTAATTCTCTGAAACGAGTTGAAGCTACGACAGGTTGTCGTGTTTACATTAGGGGCAAAGGATCTATTAAGGATCCTGACAAGGTATAACATATTTGTTCATTCTTTTCTAGTCTAAATACTATTGAATTGCCATCAACCAGATCTGACTTTGGAATGTAGAACATTTTCCATCTTTTGTATGTTTAAGTTATTGGTTCTGGTTTACAAGCTTAATCATTTCAATTTTCGGTATCAAGGAGGAGAAGCTCCGGGGAAGACCAGGCTATGAGCACCTGAATGAACCACTCCACATCTTAATTGAAGCCGATTTACCTGCCAGTGTGGTTGACTTAAGGCTGAGACAGGCGCAAGAAATTATAGAAGAATTGCTAAAACCTGTGGTAATTATCTCCAATCTTTTGGTTATCTTGCTGGATATTTATGTAAAACATCAAGAATGGCTAATCCTCCTTACATTTCTGCCCTGTAACTTTTTCTTCGATGCAAATGTACTTGTATCTAGAGAGGAAATATGATAATATTAGAACACCTACATTTAATGCATGGGAGTCATATTCCTGCTTGATCGGAAGACTACAAAAGTAGCTGAACGAAGCTGGAATCTCTCATTCACTTCACCGGAACTTGTTCATAGATGCTAACACTGATAATTCTATATTTATTTTAACTACAAAACACCTTTTTCCTAATTTTGACATTAGCTCTTTATTTCTTTCTTTCTGGATATAAACCTTTCACTTGCAGGATGAGTCACAAGATTTCATTAAGAGGCAGCAGTTGCGTGAGTTGGCTTTGCTAAACTCAAATTTCAGAGAAGAAAGTCCCGGACCAAGTGGTAGTGTATCTCCTTTCAATTCAAGCGGAATGAAGCGTGCAAAAACCGGTCGATGATTGCTCATATTACTCCTGTTCTAATGTGTGCTCCTCCACCTTAGTAACTCCATGGCCGAGAAAGCCTTGCAATACAGATTTCCATCGGCACAGCTACAAGAAAATTGTCTAACAGTTCTTGCTGGTGAGCTTTTCTGTTGGTTTTTGTTTGCTTTGTTTATCTTTCTTTTTGGAACAACAGACAGACAGAGACCCGAAACAGAAAAATCTCAGAAAAAAACCGAAAAGGGATGGAATTTATATGGTTGGCTCTTGAGTAGGTTTGGTGAGGTCAGTTTTCTGTGTAAACCTAATGCATTCATTGGATTTATTCTTGTGTTAGTTACTTCTGAGGTAAGTGTGAAAATATATGTTAATTAATTGTTCAATCATTAGAGCTTAATTAAGACGATGGGTCCGTCGTGTTTAGCTTTCGTAGCGTATGTCGAATGCCGTTTTCATAAGCATATAAACAGGAGTGTCTGGATTCTTTACAATGTGGATCTTTATTATTTAAATTGTGTCATTTGAAGACAATGCACATGTTGTTGAATTGATACAAGACCACGGTTGGCTTAGTCGTAAAGCAAGCGAAAGCGATTAATTAAGCGCTTCATGACTTGATTAGTATGATTAGTATATTTCTGGTAGGGCCATTGCTGGATTCTAACTATGCTATTTGCTTAATGATTCCAAAAGAACCACCCACATGGTAGACCAAGTGGGAGGATTATTGGTTCAATTTTTCTGTATACTATTTGTTATTTTGTTGTCTAGTTAGATAAATCCGACCGTATTCGGTATGAAGCTAGGGCGTAAGAGTTTACAGTTCGTCGTATGCTTAACGTTGTAAAAGTACAACATTTCCCTATTGATTGATGCAAATTAATACGTCTTGTAATCAATTATGGTCCGCCTAATATGGTTCTTAGAGCATGTCTTAGAGACTGTTCATATTACTATTTTTTGAGGTTCTTTTATCCAAAAGAGTAAATTGGAGCAATGGTTCATTAACCTTAATCAAATTGGAGCAATAGTCTTTCAATTAAAAATTCATTACCATTGGTTCCTTAACTCATTAAAATGTGTAGCTATGTCATTTTTGTCAACTTAGTTAGAATTTTGTCAAAATAAGTCATGTTGGAAGGACCATTGTCACAATTAGGGTCCTTCAACTCATCAAAACTGTTTTGACAAAAAAAAAAAAAAAAAAAAACATAAAAATGATAGATATGGTTATTTTTTTTCAACTTCGTCAGAATTTTATCAAGATGAGTTACGTTAGAAGAACTATTATTCCAATTGGGTTAAATTTGAAGGATCATTGCTCTAATTGGGTTAAAGTGGAGGGACCAATTCTTCAGTTGGATTAAAGTTGAGGGACCAATGATAATGGATTTTTAGTTGAAGGACCATAGCTGCACATCAAAAGAAATCAACGGTAATAAATTTTTAGTTGAGGGATCATTGTTCAAATTGAGTTAAAGTTAAGAGACTGTTGCTACAATTTACTTTATCCAAAATGGTTTATGAGATTGATCAAACTTCTCACTTTGGTTTTTGACAATGAAAATCAATAGAAAGTTCTCGAGTTTGTTTATAGTAAATCATTTTAGTCATTTTGTGGAAAATTTGTTAATATTCTCATTAAATTGTCGAGTGAACTACCTTATGCTGACTTTTCAAGGGTATTTTTGTAAAATTGATCCTTTCACTTAACAAGGGTATTGATAGATTTTTTACGGAATGATCAAAATGATTTACGGTGGATAGACGTAGAGATCATTTTTATCGATTTTCATCGTCGTGGATCAATATGAGAATTAAGCGGGCCTCAAGATCATTCTTGCTAGAAAAAACCTTTTTTTTTTAATTAGCTAATGAAGACCTGAAGAATTGTTTTGACTAAAGCTAGTTTTATGTAGGTTAGATTTAGAGTGAATGGGAAAAAATTTGAGAAAGCCCACTCCCTTAATTGGAACAGTTACTGGTCCAACGATCCATGCTTTCTCAATGCCCAGTTCTTGTCTGTTTTTATTTTAGGATTAAAAATTGAAAACTTGTTTGCTAATTAATTTTAGTTTTTGGTCGGTTGCTCACTTCTTGTACTCCACGGTCGTGGTTTCGTTGGAGTCCCAATACCCTCGAGCTGGCCTGTAGACCTAACAATCCAAAATTTCATCATAACTAAATTGACAAGAGTTATTTAGTACTATGATTCTTGTGGTATTTCTTCTTTTTGTAAGTGAGAGGTTTTAGGTTCGAATTTCGTAGGTGAGTGAATTCGATACCAAATTAGGCTATCATTGGTTGGCTTAGCTGAACTCTTTTTCTTTTATTGTAAGTATATTGTTGTACTCCAAAAAAAAAAAAAAAAATTGAATAGAAAATGCTATGGACCTTATCCATAGTTCTTTCATTATATGGCTTCAAACCAAAGAAAAAATTTATTCTCTAAGTCCCACGGAGAAAAATTTCGTGGTCATATCCCAATTTAATCCTAGTCACTAAACTGCGATACTTTATAGCGAGATTAAATCTTCAGTATAGTAACCTAACATTGTCATTATAGTCTAGCAACTCTCATAGAAATACGAGATCATCTTTATTTTAGTCTCATTTGATTCATCCGACGTTAGTCCCGTTCAATGTATATTGTTTACAACTTTCCATCTCAGTAAAAAATTATTTTCCCATGTACTATATATCAACTTGCAAGACAATCCACTTGAGCTAAAAATGCATACCACGTTATAAAGGCAATGCGAGAAAGTGGGACTGATCGTATTCACAGCCCGACCGGCCGGACAGTGGGCACGAACCAGGACCAGGCACCCCTCTAATTACCAAAAAGCCCCTTCACCAGCCGAGCCAAAAGATCCGCTAACCGATTCCTGGCCCCAAATACCAATTACCAGATTCCGCAATTGCGTCCAAGTTCAACCATAACACGTGTCACCGTCCCAAGTACGTCGGGAAATGGAAATTCACACGCGCGCGTCGTAGTAAAACACTAAATACTCCCTCTGTCTCTCTGTCTTTCTCTCTCTCCTGCGTCTCTGTGTCATTTATTAGGGTTTTGAGATTTCGGAGGACAGGGAAGGGGCCGGCCTCGGTATTCCTTTTTGTAATTTTCCTCTTGGTCTTGGGGTTTTTTTCCAAATTTTTCACTGTTAGGTTTAAGTTTCTCATTGCATCACTGATCACTCGGGAGGTTGAGATTTAGATTCAGATCAACATGGCCGCCGCCGCTCAGCTTCGCTGCTCTACAGTCGGCAGACACCACTACAACCCTTCCGACAACCGCAGATTCTCGGACAACCCTAATTCTTCGATCTCCTTCCCCTACTCCAAGACCCAGAATCGCCCTCTCTCTTTCGTCCCAAAACCCATCTGGGTCCAAACGCCAGAGCATTCGTTTTCCGGCGGAAATGGCGGTGGCGGCGCGGGAGCGGGAGGAAGTAGCGGCGGATGGAGCCGAGGCGGAGATGGGAATTCCGACGACTCGTCGTCTTCCTCGTCGTCGGTTTCGGGATTCGGAGTTCTGGGTATGTTTCTCAACGGGTGGAGATCCCGTGTCGCCGCCGATCCGCAGTTCCCCTTCAAGGTTCTGATGGAGGAGGTGGTCGGCGTCAGCTCCTGCGTCCTCGGCGACATGGCTTCCCGCCCCAATTTCGGCCTCAACGAGCTTGACTTCGTCTTCTCGACGCTCGTCGTCGGCTGCATCCTCAATTTTACGCTCATGTATTTGTTGGCCCCCACTCTGTCCGCCTCCGCCGCCACTCTTCCGTCGATCTTCGCCAGCTGCCCGGCCAGCCACATGTTCGAACCGGGTTCCTATGGCTTGATGAATCGATTGGGGACTTTCGTGTACAAGGGCACAGGTCTTTGCTGCCGTTGGATTCGTGGCGGGGCTTGCTGGAACCGCATTGTCGAATGGGCTGATCAAATTGAGGAAGAAGATGGATCCGAATTTCGAGACCCCGAATAAGGCGCCGCCTACGCTGCTGAATGCGCTCACTTGGGCGGCTCACATGGGTTTGAGCAGCAATTTGAGGTACCAGACGCTGAACGGGGCGGAGTTTTTGCTGGAGAAGGGGCTTCCGCCACTGGCGTTCAAGTCGTCCGTGGTGGTTCTGAGGTGCTTGAACAATGTGCTCGGCGGGATGTCGTTTGTTGTGCTGGCAAGGTTGACGGGGTCACAGAGCGTAGCGGAGAAACCGGTTGAAGTGGAGGTGGGATCGGCGGAGGAGAAGGAGAAATTGGTGGTGGCCGAGAGTGAGGATGGGCAGAGCAATCAGTCGACTTTCAAATGAGGATTTGGTGTTGTTTTTTGTGTGGCTTTCTGTCATTTTTGTTCATAATTTTGAACTAAAACTTGGGCGCTTAGTGTTTTTTTTTTTTGTAGCAAAAATAAAATCTTAGAGTTAATGGAACTTTAGGTGTTTGTAAAAGTTTATGCAAGTGCTGGCTCACAACTTGAATCTGTTTACGAATTACAATAGCCTTTTATGTTTGCAATCCCATTTGAGATTTTCCTGTTTGCAATTCTTTTTCCTCGATCTATGTTCTAAACTACTCTAATCTGTTCTAAACTACTTTAATCTACCAGCGACCAGGGGGATGTGAACTTGGGCTTGAGAGTGGATATGAACTTAGTGGCACAGACACTGCCTTAGTTGATTAACCTAACTCCCGTAATTCGTTTTCTTAAAAAGAGAATGTTTTTTTTCTTTCATTTTTTATCACATTTAAAAATTCAAGTTAACTCACGTAATTCGATTTTTAAAAAAGAAATTTTATTTTTTATCACATTTTAAAATTAAGGTTTGCAATTTTTGTTCGTCCTAAACCTTAAACCCTCAAGAGATTTAATACTTGACTACAAGGAAACGAGTATACTGTTCTGGTCAATTGACCAAGCTCACGTATATTTTGTTCTAAGAGCGTTAAATCACACGCATTTGAGTTGTTGAGTTTGAGTTCCAAGAAAAATGGATGCATTTTGTATTTTCTTAGTTACATTTAGACAATTTCGCATGAAATGAAACAGTGCTCTTGATGGATGGTGAAGTTTTTGTTTTTGTTTTGTTTGTTTTTTTTCCTGGGTTAGGCAGCGCGAAATGGATCTTCTAAATCAGGATAGATTTGTTGACTATCTTGCCGGCCAAAGAAAACAGGATTTGTGGTGTCGTTCTGAATGTGGTAGGTGTGTGTGTGTCCACTTCACCTAATTATTGGTAAAATACTAAACGACATATCGACCCGCATTTGGCCCCCCTTCAGATTTCTTTTCTTAGACCATCTTTAATAGTTGGGTTAAAAACCAAATTTTTTAGCTAGAAAAATTTAACTTTTAGTCAAGAAACAGTTTTTCTGCTCCAACCATTATAGTATAAAATTTTAGCCTGAGATTATTAAAGAATAAACTTAGGCTATTTTTTTCTTAAATTAAATTTTAAAAAAAATAAATAAGTATGTAGACTATTGTAAATTAATTTTATTAACATTTTAATCTTAAAAAATTTTAATTCCGATAAATATTGAAAAATCACTAAATTTTCCACAAAGCAAACCTTCAACTTTCACCAATCTTTCAACCCTAGGCTACTTTCAATTCACCAACCGTTCAACACCAAATTTTCACCAATCTTTTTTTTTTACCGTTAGATTTGATAATATTCGATCTCAGCCGTTGGATTCAATAATATATAAATATAAAAACAAAAACAAAAATTTGAATCTAGGCCGTTGGATTAACCAACGGCCTGATGATCACAATTGTTGGATGCAAGGCAGAACGTGGCCGACAGGCCCACGTGGGTGGGTCCCTCGCGGTCGGAAGGCTCGCACATTAGGTGTGTTGGGGGTTGGGTTGGGCTGCGTTTGGTGCCCAAACGCTAAAAAGCAAACATTTCAATGGGGCCCACACCCACTTTTGAGCTAAATTTCAATGGGGCCCACACCCACAATGGGGCCTCGTTTCCCCATTTAGCTTTTAGCCCAAAGTTTCCCCTTAGGTTGGACTGAGTTTGGGAGGAAATTTAGCCCATAGCCCATCATTGGAGTGAGTCTTAGCACTTTTGTCTTTTCCACAGTAACAAAGATTTAAGTTTGGAGCCACCGAAGCAGTGTGCCAATCTCTTTCCACCGACATAGATTATAGTAATTCGGAATATCGCTTTGTTAAAAAAAATGATTAGAGCGATGGACACAACGGCCGTTGCTTCCGTTGTTTCAAATCAGCTGTCTGAACAATAACTGCTTAAAGATAAAAATTCAGCTTCAACCTTCTCATTTCTTTTCTGTAACATAAATTTATTTTCTAATGTTTGTACAAGACGAGACGAGCTCCGCTATCACGCAAAACCTTCTCTAATCCTTCCTTTGATGTCAGCCACTATTCCGGCCTCTCAGCATCTCTCCAATTTTTCAACAGTATACTTCTCCGAAGCAGAGGTGCCGAACTCGTATGCTATGGAGCATGGATGATGTTCTTTAACCTAAGAAGTTACATTGCATGAACTGCAGCACGATCTCATCTGACGGCCTCTGGTGCAGAATTGCAATAAGGTGTGTGCAAGCACACCAACTTCGTGCAAGTCAGACACAGAGTTGCAAACCCCACACCAATCAGAATCCCACAGCTACTTTTACGTGTATCCAACTTCACCGCTCTCTTCACTACTTTTGCAAAACTCGGGAGCAGCCCCCCACAAGCAAAAACCATCACATGGTCTAATCCGCTATAATCAATTCCTGCGAGTATTGCTCCTATTGCAGATATTGGACCCACGAATCCAATTAAAGCAGCCGCCACAAGGGCTGCATGCCAGTTATCAGTAGCCCCAAATATGCAGCTAGCCACAGCTGCACCCCGAGGGAGTCCATGTAGGGAGACAGGAAGGACCATGTGTCGCCCAAGTCCATAAGCTTTTGGTGCAGCAACCCCTAGTGCAAGCCCTTCAGCCAAAGCATGAAAGGCAACTGCTCCACATGACAAGAATGCCTGGAGGGTGTGAATGCTCACTGGAAAACCATTTGCTGTGGGTAAGTTATGAACCGAAGTTTTTTTGCGACCTGTGAGCTTCAGAATACTAGAGCTCAAAATATGGACGGATCCAGCTCCCATTGCAAGCAGAAATATAGCAGATAGAAATCCCATCTTTAACGAAAAAAGTAGCTGCAATGGTCTCCAGGCACCAAGGACAAAGGCAATGCCAGATGCTGCACCCATCAGAAGAGCATGCTGAAGATGGAAAGCTAATGCAAAGGCGACAAGAACAGTGCCACCGAGCAATGGTCCAAGACCAAAAAGTAATGACACAAAAAAGCCAGAAGCATCCTCTGAGCTGCAACACAGAACATGTCAAAGATAAGAGCACTTCCGAAGGTCAGGTGAAAAGTACATTCTGTATGTGAAAAAAGCATGTACGAAAAAGAGGACACAAAGTCTAAACTACAAAACAAAAGTGACACGATTTCCCTCAACATTAAATGTACTCACTTGTAATCATGGGTGAAATTCTGAAAAAGAGTGCTAAGAGCTTCCATGAATGCAACAGAGAGAGTAGCTGCTGACGCAACCTGTGATGGACAGGCTTCCTACAAGCACAACACAAAAGAAGCTACTTTGTTAAAAATGGAAAATATAACCTTGCGGAGCTTTGATAATGTAAATAGAAAAGGTTTCAAAAGTCTACAGCAAATGATATAAGCAAGTGAAGAAACAACCAGCATAAAGAAGTCTCGTGAGGAATTTTACCTTAAATGCATCAGGAAGCACCTCCGCAACAACCATCCAGATCATACATCCAGCAGCAAAGCCCGTACAGAAAGGAAGGAACTTGCTAAATGCATCAGCGCATATGAATGAAGGAACTGCTACAAGGGGCTGCAACAACAATATATGTGTAGGAGACCATTAAGTTAAGAGGCACAACATGCGATTCACCCAAAGTTGGTTAGATATTCTCAATTGCCCCGAATTTTAAAAACTAACAAGCTACCTGTGGTAATGATGTAATTATGCTCCATAACATGGCATTCTGCGGAGAAACACCCCTGGATGCAAGCACCATACTCACAGCTAAGCCTTCTGGTATATTGTGCACAGCAATAGCCAAAGTAACCAAAAGGCCCTGAGTGAAACCCTTTGAGCCAGCAAAGGAAACCCCAACACCAGAGCCCTCCCCAAATGAATGAAGAGTCATTATTCCAATCACAAGAACAACTTTAGTTGCATCTGCACCTTTGATGTCTAACATACTAACTTCTCCGTATTGCTCAAGAAACTGAAACCAGATATAATATAACGATGTAAAACATAATGAGAGCTTGTTGCATTCTAGCATTATGTAAAAGATAAGCCCTTTAATTGATAAAATCTGAAAATTGAAAGCCTAGAAAACATCTTACCATTTTTCAACATGCTTGTCCTCCCCCGTAAAATGATAAATAAGTGAAAGGAATGTTTACGGACTGTGACAGCTTAGGCATATTTATTCAAATTTCTTGAGATGTTGCATTTGGCACCAAAAAATCTATAATTTTTTGTTTTTTACTTTTAAATAGATAATACTACTGGTTCAGAAAGTAATCACACATGTTAACACTGAGAATAAACATCTTGGCAAAATGCAATTGAAATGTGAATTCTATGAAACAGGAACCAAATTTGGTATAAAGGGAAGAAGCAACTACATCTACCAAAATGGAAAAGACATAAACGACGGAGGAAATAAAGGATCCAATTCAATACCTGCTTGCATAGCCAAATAAAAAGGCCCCCAGCTAAAAGCCCAACAACAACCCAGTTCCCAGCACCATGGCTTTGTGCACCATGGCCTTGTCCTTCCTGTACAAGATCAAAGCTTGCAGCCAACATTACACCAGCAGCCATCCCATTGCATAATCCCGCCCATTGTGGATCAAGCTCAACAAAGAAGAATGGAACTGCACCTAAACCTGTGGCAGCAGCCATTGCCAACGTAAATAACGCAACAGTAGAGACTGAGACTTTGCTGTTTGCGCTCTTCACCTCACCCAGTCCATTATTTGAAACCTCAAAATTTATGGCATTCTCCTGACCAGTGCCATCAATAACATTACTTCTCACATTTTTGTGTGGAGCAGATCTCAGCTTTTGCGTCACTTCATTTTCAATCTCTGATGTAGTGTACCCAAAGAGAACTAGGGAGAACAGCGAAAATAATAGAACTTTTCTAAATGTGAAGGTCATAACTTCAGCCTTCAGGATATTAAGAGATTCCGCCTGTATTCTTCTCTTGAATGCAATCAGAAATACTGGGCTCTATTGAACCATCCGATGCCACTTCTCCGTGATAGCGTAGCAATTACAAAGACACCATTCCTAGCTTGATGTGTGCCTTGTGGTCAACCCTGCAGATTGCCAAAGGCATCACTACACTAGTAATGCAATAACACTTCCACATTCCTCAGTCACACACTAAAAACACACTTTGATCCGAATTTTGTTGTGAAACTATAGCTCACAATTAAACCAAAAAAAAATCTCCTAAAATACGTAAATTACTGATTAGTTTAGCACTAAATAACACACAAAAGATGAACCTTCACTGACAAACATTACAAAATTCCTAATGAAACCCGAAAATTTAAGGCCTCAGTAGAGGACGTTGGCTTTGGAGATCATCACAAGGTCAGAGATATATAGCCCACACCACCTTCACAAACAATGTGATAATACAGAATCCAATCGATGATCGAACTTTAAAACTACAGAAATTACTAAAGGAAGTTCAAACTATTCAAGCATCCTTAGTGTCAATGCCCAAAACAATAAACAAACAACAATTAAGGGCCTTAGTTTTGAAATTAAGGAATTCATCAAAGTACCCTCTTCCGAAATTTCACCAAATTCCTCTCCTTCTGACGAAATCACAGCAATCAAACAAAATATAAGAACCCTAGATTCAAAATTGGGAATCAGATTAAGGAAATGGAGAAATCAAAAAGCTTACCGATAGAGCAAAAGAGGCCCAGGAAGGAAGGAAGGAAGGAAGAAAAGGAGCAGAGCGCGGGGGCTTGACTGAGACGTCAGTCAACCGCAATTCAGACGGCGACAGAAAAGGTTTCCTGGGAATGAACCCCTTCCGTCGAGTTTGGCTTCGAAATTAAATTAAATTATTTGATTAAATAAGTAAGGCAACGTCGAATTCGGGGATAATGAAACAAATTCAAATTCAACGTCTTGGAGTTGTGGGAGTAAATTGGTGGTCCACTCATTGGGTGGGATTTGGATTTAATAGCACAAAGAAAAAATAGCGGGACTTTATTGGAATTTTATTCAATTTTGTGGGTCACGTCAGAGGACTCAGCACGTTGGTTTTGCCCAAAACCAGGGACTCAGAACATAGACACAAAAATAGTAAAATTTCTTGACGAATGCTAGAGTGACTCTTTAAGTGAGATTCAGGATTATGTATAAATTATCTGTCACGTTATAATTTAATGTCAATTCTTCTACTAATAATATAAATATTATACAAAAAATATGATGACCGAGGACCGAAAGTCTATAGAGAATCTCATTTTTAAAATAATTCCCTTAGCTTTCTCAAATTCTTTTTGCCAAAACATGTATTTAGAGTAGTCCCTTTTGGGCTAAGTAGTAGATTTAGATTTAGTTATGTTATGGGTGTAGGTTTTAATTTTCTTACGTTGCATTTAAAGTTTTGACATTCAACAAACTTACAAACTCCGTTAACTTCATCGTCTAATCAATTTGTTATCTGCTAAAGTAGCAATGCGAGATCCATCTCCAAACTTCTATGTGGTACGGTTAGTGGATTTGGAGGAAAATAACAAGTACACACAAATAAAACATGTAATTGAACCCTTTTTTTGTTTTTTTTTTTTTTTGGCCACTTAGTACCATGATCTAATGGTATTCTTTTTCATTTATAAATGAGAGGTCTTAGGTTCGATTCTCGCTAAAGGTGAATTTGAACCACATTATTGTTAGCTCATTGTAAGGCTTAGCTCATCCCTTTTCCTTAGTGTACATCATCCCCTTTCCTTTAATATAGATAATATCGTTTGTTAAAAAAATTTAACCATCGTCAAATTAATTACTCTCTAGAAAACACAAGCAAAAAAGCCGCGCGATGATGCGGGTTTACAACAATGTTTCCAATTCTACTACTTCATATATACAACCATACTCACAATCCTCTTTACAGATATACTAATCAGTATTTAAAACTATGTTATATGAGAGGAGTTTTACCTCAATACAAAACTTGACAAAATTAAACAAATCCCCATGTCACTGGTTTTCACTTTGACCCCTACTCTTATAAACTGGGCTGAATGCTGACGCATGGACCGTTGATTTCCACTGCAAAGAAGGGTTTCTCCATCATCACCACCATTGGTGTTCTTTTCCTGTTTTTCTTTGCCCAGACATTGAAAAATCCAATTTTGAAGTCATTTTCTCACACTAAATAGCAAAAAAATAAATTTAAAAATTAGAAAAAGACAAAGAAAAGCATCTAAAAACTCATATTCGGAAACCCAGATGAGAAATCATCATAAAATACCAAACTTTACCCAAGAAAACTCTAAAAAAATAAAAAATAAAAAAATTGAAGAACCCATTTGAACTTTACACAGAATGCAGCCAAGGAAAGACAAAAAAGAAAAGAGTTAAGCCATCAAGCTCAACCCTTTAATATAAACTCAAAAAAAAAAAAAGATTAAACACAACCTCATTGAATCATTAATCTTACCGTAACGACAAATTATTATGACCAAACACAAAATAGAGACTGAGCATGTTAATTTTATTTTAAAGGATTCATAATTTACCTAATTCATCTGATTAGCAGTCACTAATTACAAATAGATTTGTAGATGTAGGACTAAATTAGTTCAGGTTTGGACTGCAATTCACACAATTACCTATATTTTCCCCAATTGTTATAATTTCTCAAAAAAATTCATAGGAACAAAAACAGACTTAAATCAAACCCACCTTCCAGCTTGAGTGAAACGACACCGTCTTCAATGGAGACAACATCGACGTTACCGTCATCGGCCATGAGATAGGGGCGGACGTCCTCTAGAACCAAGTCGACGTTGGGAATCGTGAGTTCGTACTGCCTGGCGGAGTAGAGTCCCGGAGAAGAAGACTTGGCGGCAGCGCTCGGGTTTGAAGCTCTAACGGCGGTTTTGAGAAAGATCGGCCTTTGAGAGGTGAGACGGTGCACTTGCGTCCGGCCGGAAACAACTCGCGCGAATTCCAGTACCCAAAACGTAGCCGCTTGGTATTTGAAATCGAGTTTTTGTTCTGAGGGTTTAGATCAGGCGCGAGAGATTGCGAAATTGAATTTGTTGGTTCGAAGGTTTGAACTCGGATATATTCAATTATGATTTTAAAAAAATTTATAATATTTGTATATTCAAATAGTAATTGATTTTAAAGAATCTGGAAAGTTGAGAAATTAGAAGGAATTTGAGAGATTTTGTAATGTATTTTAAGCATCTATAAATCTCACATCTTCCCATAAGATTTTGAGGGAATTGAATTAAAATTTTATATGAAATTTCTACAAATCAATTAAATTCCATAAAAATTCATGCATTTATAAAATCATTAAAATATCTCAAATTCTCAATTAAATACACCTATTTTCAGAGTGTTAGTGGTACAAAAACAAGGGCAAGAGAGTGCACTTTTTGCCTATAGCTATATTTGTCTTGGTGAACACTGGCTGGCGTGCAAAACAAGCAGAGAAATGACCGTTCTTCTGTTACTACACTAGCACAAGACCATGTTGCTTTTGTTTCTACGTCCCGATAAACAGAGACAAGGGTTAAAAGAAACACCCGAAACTCGTGTTTTTGTTGTCGTAGTCGTCGTCGTCATCGTCGGAGAAGGAGCTTTATTCAAAACGAAGGAAGCACCGTACGTTCAAACATATACGAGACTCTTGAGGCTCTACTTCTTTGCGTACCACCAATATGTGCAGCGTCACTTGACCAGCGTGCGAGGGGAGTTTTTATTCATCGAGGCACTATGGTTGGGACAGCACCACTGGTTAGATCACTTCCTGCCAGGCTGGAGGACGTGTAGGATCGGTCTCCAGCCAATAAGGACGATGAGGTTGGTGATTGGTCACTGTACGAGGAAGTAGATGGTGAAAATATGGTGTCAGTTGCCGGCGTGATTTTGAGTATGTTTTCGAGCTCCCTCACCACTTCCGGCATATGAGGCCGCTTGTCTTGCTTTTCATTACAACATCTGAGGGCCAAATCTAGAAGCCTTTCAACACATTCGGATGGATAGGAACCCATTCTGCTGTCTATGATCGAGAACACCAGCCCTGCCTGATGAGCCAGACTCACCTGAAAAAAAAAAATGAATATAATTTCATGATTATTAGCATCAGCTAAGATATTAGTGCTCGGTGTGCTAAGACATAATCTGTATCAGCACGCCAAACACTAGTGTTTGTGTTTGAAATTTATACAAGCAGAGGCATTTTGTTACATCAGACAAAATCTTAGCAACAGAAATCCCAAAGAAGTGATGTTTCAAAGGTACCTCTCGAACTATGTTTTTGCCGTGTGAAATTGGCTGATTGCCCGTAAGGAGCTCCAGAAACACGATTCCTAGGCTATAGACATCGCTTTTGTCTGTCAACTTATTGGTCAGGAAATACTCTGGATCAAGGTAACCCTGCAATGTATGATTAAAAAAAAGAGTTATTCGTAATTCTACAGTGAGCTCATTAGCTTTGCATGATTTTAACATACCGGCGTTCCTCTCACAACCGTAGATACATAAGCAGGCCCGATCCCTGCATCATCCTGCAGAGGCGCAAGTCGCGAGAGTCCAAAATCCGCCACTTTAGCCACAAGGTTGGAGTCCAAGAGTATGTTGCTGGCTTTGATATCCCGGTGGAATATTGGAGGATTTGCCTCAGTATGAAGATAAAGGATGCCTTTAGCAGAACCTAATGCAATGCGTAACCTCATAGTGAAGTCCAGACTTCCCTTGGCTTTAGCTGTCATATCATAGCGAATACAGAACTTAAGAAGAGATGTTGGAATACAGTATCCAAAAACACACACATAAATAGGAGTAGGCATTTAAGAAACTGGGAATGCTGGAAATTTTCGTACCACAAAGCCAATTGCGTAAGTTACCATTAGGCATGAACTCGTAAACCAGGATCTGCACAAGCAACAAGAACAAACAAATCATATAAAAAAGGAGCTGCAACTAACAGTGCAAGCAATAGCAATGAGTAATTGATCATGACTGCAAGCTTCGTACCTGCTCCTCTTCTTCATCACAATATCCCACCAAAGAGACTAAGTTTCGGTGGTGTAGCCTTGATAGCAGTCCTATCTCAGTCAAGAACTCCTTTTCACCCTGTAAGGATCCTTCTTCTGCACGCTTTATGGCTACGGCTGTGCCATCAGACAAAATACCTTTGTAAACTTTCCCATAGCCTCCTTGTCCAAGTTGCGTTGAAGTATCGAAATTCCCAGTAGCTACTGTCATTTCTTCGAAAGTGAACGCCTTTACACCTTCAATTCTCATAGAGATCTTTGAGGCTGCAAATAGCGGTAAGGACTTCATTCTACTTTCTAGGATGATAGTCAGACCGGAATAACATCTTCAAAATTTGGTCTTAATCAATTGCAATTAAGAACTTACATGAATGTCTCCGTGAAGGTGGGTAACGGCGTTTGAAACATCTTGTGGTCAGAAGCATGACTATTGCAGATATAATGAAAACAGCAGCGATGCATCCTATTATAACGCCTGCTAAAGCTCTCTTGCTAATGCTCGTCTTTTGCGGGTCAACAATCACTATAACAACGAAATAAATAAGTTACTCAACCAAGAATAAGAAACATGTTCTCGTCCTTATGACATGCTACCAAGGAATCAATTTCTCAAAGTTAGTAACGCGTACAAATAAGGGAGTCCAATGCGAAGCGAATAGCAAAATAAACCAAAATATCCAGATGACTTTGGAAAAAAAAGAAGATGTTTGGGATAAAATACGTACTGTTCGAATAAGGTCCCAGCAGAGTGAAGTTGAGAAGCTCATAGGGTCCAAAGAAATCAACTAGAGGAACTTCCCATGATGTAAGAAGGCCTCTCACTCGCTGAACCTCGCTTACGTTAAATATATTCGAGTGTGAATTGATGAACATAGGAAAAAGCTTCAAATGCATCAGTAAACGAGGCCCTTCTTGCCACACAAATGAATCAATTGATAATTGATAAGGGCGCAGGTTGAGAGAACGAGTTAAGTAGATTTCAAAATTCTGTATATGAGGAGGAAAATATGAAAAACTAGGACTTTTCAGACGATATTCAACTCTTAAAGGTGATGCACAAAAGCATGGAACTGGGCAAGATGGGACATATTCGTAAAAATAGTCTGTTGGACATGCTTGACTAGGGCAGGTCATTGGTTGAGTGGAGTTTATCAAGTTATCAGAAATCCCGTCTCCAGCTTCAGGTCGACAGAACTGCCCAATGTTTGGTATTGTTACATTATTGCAGATAGGATTTCCTCCAAGCCTGAGAAAAGCTGCTATAAGTAAAAAATTACAGAAGTAAAACAAGGTGTAACTTGGCTAATAATTTTCATACCTCAAGGTGACATTTGCGGGAAGATTTAGCTCTCCCAATAAGCTAGAGAGTGAATTGTTCCGAAGATCACTGCAATATTTAGCTAACATATAAATAAATACACTAAAAATATAAATGGGAAGGCACTCCAAGAAATCAAATAAAATTAATTCAAATGGTTATGTTAGTCTTTTGCTAAAGGAACTTACAGTGCAAGTCTAGCTTTTCTGCCGAAAGATATGTTCTGCCAGATAGTAGGGATAGAACCGGTCAAAAAATTGTTGTCGAGCGATCTGTAATAGAAATAATTATAAGAATCAGATCCAGAGTTCATATAACCGCACGGTAATATTCTTCCAGTAGAATCATAAGAATATCACACTTGAATGTTGAAGAGACATATCCGAAGCATCTGATATAATACCATATGCACCCGGCATTTTAAAATATGGAACAAAGATTTGGGCAAGTAAACAAAGTCTTACACTTTCTGAAGAGCAGGAAGTTCTGAGAAACTCTCAGGTATGGAGCCGTTAAGATGGTTGTCTGACAGATCGCTGTGATAAATACAAAGTATTTTAACAGGATAAGTTTTTAAATCAAACAGATAATTACAATTAGTAAGATTTTATAATTTTCATATGTAGCATTGATTTGAAGTTAGCATACTGATGAAGCAATGGGAAGTATGACTATAACAAGTTACAAGTTTAGTCGGGCCAGATACGTACATTGTTGTCACATTTTCAGAAAGTCTAGGCGATGGTATGCGTCCACTTAGTTGATTGTGGCTTAGATCTCTGTGGCAAGAACTCAGTCAAGGTCAGAAAATAGAAGCATAAATTGAAGGGTAAACAAACGCATTATAGCGTCGATTCAAGGTCTTTGAACCATATCTGTACTTACAGATAACTAAGGTGAGGTATCCTGCTAAAATCGGGAATTTCTCCCTGCAAACTGCAATTCCTAAGACTTCTGCCAAACCAGAAATAGGAAAAAAGAGAAGGTATCAGCAATCCTTCTGAGCAAATTTATGCATAACTAACACGAAATTAAAGCACCAAAAGCATCTCGAGAACCAGAATACTGATTCAAAGAAAGGCAAGATACTAATAACATAAACTTACATTTTTGCTAATCTGGAAAGGTTTCCATAAGAAGATGGAATCTCAGTCCCCTTGAAGTTGTTGTTATCGAATTGACTGAAAAATGGAAGGAACGACATACAAAGAAAGAAATGATTTCCGTCAATGATGAATAAAATCTGGTCAAGGGAAAAAAACATTACCAATGAAGATTGTATAAAAGGAAACAAGTGTACTCCAAATTAAAAATCCAGACGGTAGTTGGATTAGGACGTACAGAATGCGCAGGTTTGGTAAGTTGGAGAATTCTGGTGGAAGATATCCTGACAAGTTATTATTATCAAGGAGCCTGTAAAATTTCGTGTCAAATAGACACAATTAGGACTCAGTCAACAAGTATAAATACAGAACAATTTCCAAAAACAACACAATGAAATTATACAAAAGTAAGACGATATAAAAACTCACAGGTGAAGAAGAGTGGGTGCTTCAGAAAGCTCAGGCGGAATTTGACCGCTGAAGGAGTTGTTGTTCATGTGGCTGCGAAGCAAGATACACAAACCTGTCAAACATGAGAAACATAAAACGTAACCTGACATTATTTATCATTTAGCTTGAACATGTGCTTACAGATGTTTTACACTGCTCATGTTAGCAAATGATTTTGGAATTGGACCAGACATATTGTTCTGATCGACTTGTAGTCTATTTAAATTTGCAAGATAACCGAGCTCAGGAGGTAAGGAACCGGATAATTTGTTTCCACTCAAGAGCCTGCACACAAATGCATCACAATAAAAAGATAATAAATTGTGTACAGGTTAAACAGTGAAATATGGTGATATTTCTTTACATGAATGCATATGAAAAAGGGCGGATGTACAAAAATATGTCGAGAAAACAACACGAACTCAACTTACAAGAGTGTCAAGGATGTCATGTTTCCAATCTCCTTAGGTATAGTGCCACTTAAGTCATTCCACATGAAATCTCTGCCAGCAGAGCGAAAAATAAATGGCATCTAATTAGAAAATAACTAAAGGTAATCAGAGGAACCCTTCGAAAAATTGGAATGGGAGGGATCGGTTTATGAGATGACACAACTCACAATATCAGAAGTTGGGATAGTTGGCCAAGCTCAGGTGCTAAAGTTCCTGAGAGATTCATATTCAGCAGTTGGCTGCACCAAATTAAGATTACCAAAATTCAGCGAGACGGCATTTATGTTATTTAAAAGCAATTGAGCATATGAAAACAGATACATACAGTTCCTGGAGGTGCAAGTATCCATCACTCCCAACAGCATTAAAACACAAAACTCCGGTCCAATGAGATTCGCAAGGATCCCCATCGTCCCAATTCCTTAGATGATTTCTAGGATCAATTAATCTGCTCTTGACTGCTCTCAACACATTCACTGCAAAAGGGCACAAAGCATAAGTTACACTCTTCAATTGCATAATATAAAGTAGCACCAATAGAACTGAAAATTCACCTTCTGAAGGATTTGTAACTTTTGCAACCACAACGAGGAAGAAGCAAGAACACAGAAGAGCAATGACACATCCAGAAGCTCTCAGCTTCGACATTCTAATACCCTATGGAATCAACCCAAATGAGCAATCTCCAAATAAGTAACTGCAACCTACAAATTACCTAAAAATCTCGACTTTCTTTCATAAGAAGTAAACTAGAAAAACATGCAACAGAACAAGATAAAAAGAGATAAGGAAACAGTTTCAAGCTCACAATTTCGGGTAAACAGAAACAGTAAAAGCTTTCATGTCGATTTAAAAAACAAAATCATACCTATTAAGTGTGAGTGGTGGACTTTGAGACTCGTTTGAGACCTATGAGTTATGAGACAGGTACTTAGGGACAGGAACACAGTTCCGAAATCGAAGCCGAGTCAACGGGGAGGATTCTAAGGACGAAGTACATGAAGTCCTGATATAACTTTGTCTTCATGATAACCTTGATCATGAATTCCAACACTGAATTTTGGCGTTGTGGATCGTCACAGTTAGTTGGAGTAAGTTTTCGTGTTTTCTTTGGTTTAATGTTTTTTTAGTCCAAAGTTGTGAAAGGGATCAAATAAAGATATGAGACGGCGTCTGCTTTGTCTTTAGGGCTGGTGGGTGTAAAGGCAAAGACAATTTCCACATTTAGGCCACGTTAAGGGAGACGCTGACTTTTGTGTACCAACATTACCTAAGATTTCCACGAACCTAATTTTTGTGTGCTGTTGGTGGTCACCACATATCCAACTAACCAGATTCAAATCATTTGTTTTATTTGTTTTATGCTTATATGCTAAGTGCAGAGAGAATCGAATGTGTGAATTCGGAGGCGGATGTAAATGCTCTAAACTATTTGAATTATAAGTTCTTGATGTCAGTGCTCATGAACATTGAAAGTTGTATCTGCTTTGGGGTTGCATAGTCTCAATGTTAAGGGCTATTTAAGACTGCTTTTTAAAACAGCTAAAGATGGCCTACGACAACCAAAAATACTTATGGTTATATTGAACATAAAAACTTAAAATACTCGTAACACTAATAGGTGATTCTTCAGAAAGCACTTTCAAATATATTTTTTTTTTCAGAATTACTGGAATTTTTAATAAAATTTTGGTGGCCTCAAAATTGTTTTAAATACCCATTTGTACTAACAACTCTAGCTATAAGTTTATAACTCAAAAGATTTTAATGCACAAAAATATAAACAGAAGATTAGAATACATTGGCAAGGTGCATGCCTCAATTGGGAGGAACTACTTCCATGTATCTCATACCGATGGTGGTTATTTCAATCCAATCATGCGTTATTAGCGTGAAATACAATTATCGTGTTGTTCTGAGTATAGTGAAATTTCTCTTCTCAATCCTTAAAATTTCATTATATGCAGTTGAAAATTACAACCAATTCATTTGCCTTTAGAAGAAGTTTATAATTCTTTCTTTCCAGTCACAGACAAGTCCCCATTTGCCATTTAATAATGAGGTATTGGCGGATTCTCCTCGGGGCCGGAACTTGTAAGAAGCTGACAATTTTATCCTAAAATTTTAATTTTAATTGATTACTTCACTGAACTTTTAAAATTGGCTAATTTCCCCAAGAATTTTAATTTTAGTCGATTACCCCTGAACTTATATAATTGGTCAATTTCCTCTCTTAACCTTAATTTTCCCCATAAACCCTAAAATCCAAGCAAAAATATACAAAGTGAACTAGCGAAGAGAATAAGAAGAAAAAACAGATTAGGGATAAAATTACATTTCTACAATTATAAAATTAAAGTTCGGAAGAGATTGGTCAATTATAAAAGCTTAGAGAGTAATTATGCGATGAATTGACCAATTAAAAAAGTTTAGAGAATAATTGTCTAAAGTCAAATTTTATGTCAAAAATTGATGACTCTTTATAAGTTTGAGAGCAAATACTTCTTTAATAATTTCATCCAATTGCATTTAGAGAGATTCAAATTGCTTTGCTTACAGTCCACACACATGTTTTTCAGTCAGTAGCGTTTCTAAATCCAATGCTGACATTTTGTAGGGTTTATTGACAAAATAAAATACATGAAATAAAAACCCAAAAGAAATAAGAAATTTTTCAGTGTGATCGGCATATAAGATAATACATCATGTGTCACTATACAAATGATAGCATATGTGTTATAAAAAGTTAAGAACTTAAAAAAAATAAAATTTCTCACCACTTACACAAAAACACATAGTATATCATCCGTGTTTCTGTCACAATAAAAAATTTCTCCCAAAAAACAAAAGATGTGGATGGGACGGTTCCAGGTGCACTAATTGCAAAGGCAGCCGACCTCCCCAAAAGTATCTTGAAATTTTCTGCTGTCCTTTCTTACAAGGATAACAAACTTGAAGAGCTCCAAATTGTGCATTAATACATAGTGACATGATGACCCATCCGAATCCTGCATTTATGCACAACCTCCCATGGAACTTGTAGCTGTACACGGCTCGGATTGTACAATGAGAGATGCCAACTTGTTTGGGTGACCTATACATTCGTTTGGTATCTGGGATTGGATTGGATTAGATTAGATTAGATTGAAGAACTTGTAAAATTTAAGGTATGTTGATGGTGGAGGTGATCGAATTTTTGTTTTGAGGAGATCGGAAGGGTTCGAACATGAAGGAAAATTCTCACTCTCAACCCGTACAAAAGTGAATTGGATTGGTTACCTCATAAAGTTGAAGGTATGTTGCATGCAAAAGGTCGATGCTTTTTGTTTTGATGAGAGATTTTTTAGTGTGACAAGAACACGGGGTAGTACTCCAAGTGTTATTATACAAATGATGGAATATGTGTGTTAAAAAGTTAATAACTTAAAAAATAAAATTTCTTACAACTTATATAAAAATACGTGATGTAACACCCGTGTTCCGATCATAATGAAAAATTTATCGGGTTTTGAGGAGATTAGAAGGGATTAGCCGTGAAAAACAAAAACCTTTACCCTTCACAATCTACTACTTTTGAGGAAACATGCCCTTTCAAATCCTTACAAAATCAAATTGGAGTGAATACCTCATAAAATTCAATGTATGTTAAACGGAGAGATGAATGACTTTTTATTTTGAGGAGATTAAAAGCGATTAGATAAGTACAAAACTTATTCCGTCTAATCCTACCCTTTTTGCTGGTATTGGAGGGATAAATTCCCTTAACAACTAATCCATCTTCTATCTTTGACACGTACAAAATTTCTTTCATTTATTCTCTCGACACCCTTGAATATAGTTAGTCATCCAATCTCAGGCACCAAACGAACCCTATACACCAATTTCCAAGTTTAAAGTTTATCTCTCTTTTTTCTCTCCACCAATTTATAAATTTATTGTATTTAAAAAAAAAAACTAATGAAAACGACTTGAAGACTTTGAGTTTTAATCAAAATGACAAAAAGGTGTTATAAATGAATAGTATCAGGAGTGACCTTTTAGAGTAAAAATATCTTTTTTTGTTAAAATAAACAGTAACGGGAGTGTTTCATTAAAACTATATTTTTTTTTCCCTTCTGATTATTTTTTAAAATATTTTCTAAAATTTAGGTGGAAATTTAAACATAGATATTGAATGTTACCTTAGAAACACACTGGAATCTTGACATTGTGGAAACTCACCATCCAGGCATTCAGCCACCTAGTCAAGGTTTGAAAGAGTGTTCCAATCATAAGCTGCTTATTTTCAACTTGAGAGTTCAGAAAGTAAAAATAAAGGGATAGAGCCACAAATTTGGAAATTACAAACTTTCACATCGGATTAACCACCTGCTCTCTAAACCAATTTATCATAGCACAATCATGTTACGAGCTTGACCTTTTTGAAGTGTGAACTAATACTTTGGGTAGCAAAACATGCCCTTGATGCCCTCCGGGTCCGGTTCAAAACCCAAATTTTGATAGAACTCTACAACTGCAACGACAATGAGAAGTGAAAAACCCAAACTTTGATGCCTTTGAAAATGGTAAAGCAGGCAACAGCTGAGGTGGAAGTGAAAAACTCGACTAGTCATGAGAAGGAACATCGGTGTAGAGTAGCATTGGCGGAAAACGATTTATGATGTCACCGTGAAGGTGCACATAAGGGTACTTGTATGGCAATGGCAGACAAGCTCATCAATCTTGAACTTAAATAGCACACTGGCATGATATTATAATTGACTAAACGCTACAAATAATTGTTGTTTTACCCTGACTATCTGCAAAGAGTGAAATGTTTCCGATGTCCCTCGCAGAAGAGCCTGTATCATCTTTTCAACAAGAGCCTTTCTGAGGCCTTGGTCCTGAACGATAAAGATGTCATGGGTAACAATCATGAAAACATGTTACGTGATTAGTGCTTTAAGTCCAACACACAATGTACAAGCATACCTGATAGCTGGGATCAATTAACTTCTTCTGGCATTGAAGGCATGATCTGATGTAACTTGAGCCATGCCAATTAACTTCTTCTGGTCATTCCTTTCTGTCAAATAATATAGACTGCAACACCAATTGTGTGAAAAAGGAGGCAACAATGCTCTATCCACTATGTACCTGATCCAGGTGATTTCCGAACTGAATGCAATGAAGCAACCAAGTAGCTATTTTTCAAAGCTGCAGCTAGTTTTGTCAGCGGCCTCCGAGGCCAACTTACCTATAAAAATTACATTAAAGTTGCTTGACTTTCGCCAGTAGATGTAAGATAGCATACTATCTCCACATGTTGCCATTGGATAGATAAAGAGAGAAATAGATAGCATTATATTTCATATACGACGAAAGAATCACAGACCAAACTTCACTAAAAGGTCAATCAGGCAAAATGCATCCAACAATAAGTGGTCTCCCGACCTATGAAGAGTGAGTTATACACAACTGGGAATCCAAAAGGTATTCACTATCAAAAGAATGTGCAAAAGAAGCACCAACAACAGCGTAATTACCTTATCACAAAGGGCTTGAAGATCGTACACATCAATATCTCCACCAGAAGAAAATATTATTTCTTCAACTGTTCCATATGGTTCAGTCTTCTGAATGAGAACTAATTCTTGAGGCAGAGGTTCTTCTTCTTCCTCTTCCGGGAGCATGGAGGGCTGTTCAACTACTTGTGTGTTGTTGTTTAAAATACTGCAACAAGAAGCGAGTTAACGACCATCATAACTTTTCTGTCTGCGTGTGATGATATCTCATTTTTTATGTTTTAGACTTCAATTAGTACCAATTTCAAAACTGCAGAAGTGGTACGAGCATACTTCCAATAGGCAACCTTTAGATGCACCATTTTAAGCTTTGAAGCCCAACAAAACATAAACTCTCACTCTACGAAAAAGTATCATAATCCATAAAGTAACATACTTTCTAAACAAGTTTGCTAATTGAGGGCTCAAACCAATCAATGGCTTCATATTTACCCGTCTTTCAACAATCGAGCAATAAGTGGCACGGCAAATCCAAGATTCTAAAACAATTCACCTGACTAAACTTCATTTTATTTTTAATTACCCGGATTTAATGGATTCCCAAAAGCCAGCCTTGAGTCGATATCCCTTATGCATCCTTCTTGCTGCAAAAGATACAGAAAAAATCAAAGAAACTTGGATCATGGTTCACTATGCAGACATGAGCAAGTGTACATCAATCACTACATACCTTTGGCAAGCTGCTCTCTCACATTGCAAGGAAACAATAACATATCCGATGCTTGACGACACGATTCAAACGAAACAATCCGGCATCTGCCACGAACATAGCCGAAAAGGTACATCATTTTCTTCAATCCACCATCATCAAGTAATTAACTTTACACCCAAATGGTTACTTTCAACACATTCTTTTGTGCAATTAAACAGTTTTCGAACTAAGAACGCTCGTTAGAATCTTGTTTTCTTGATACATATGCCTACCAATAAGTTATTAAGTGCAAAGCTACCAAATTTTTCAAATTTTCCAAGAGACAGTTCGATAAACAGACATGGGTTGAAGCGAAATTACAAAAAGACTGACTGATGGGTGGGAAGGGAAGAACTTACAGAGGATAGGAAGCGCAGGCAGCACTCAGCGTATGCATCGTCTTCTTGCTTCTTCTTCTTCTTCTTGTTGCTGCTGTGGAGCTGTGTGAGTGACCGTAAGCTCTAAAAACACAAAATTGTCAAATATATTTGCTTTTTCTCCTTCACCCTTTAATCTCCTTTTATCAAAATTTTAAAATATTTTTATTCTTCTATTTGAAGTTTAGAAAAATAATAAAAATACTTTTTTTTCGCCTTTTACACACTCTTATGCGTTTAAAAATCACCACCGAAAGAATAAGGTCAAGTCATATGTTAAAATGAGGGTTGTTCTCAGCGCTTTACAAAAGATTGGTGTGCAGTTCACACACCCAATCTCATTTAGTTAAATTTTAACCGTTTACTCATGAAAAAATTATGCGGGAGAGAAATTACAAATGTTAAAATTAGGGTGAGGGCTTTTAATGCGTATGTATCCGTGGCCCAAATTGTTTCACCAGGCCCTTAAGTTTTATAAGGCCGGTTGGTTTCATTTGGGCTTTTTATCTTCAGCACTGATCCATATTAGTGTTCGAATATGATAAACAAATAATTGATTTGGGAGAACGAAAAGGAGAAGAATGTAGTACTTGTAATAATGCCATCTTTATTGATTTCCGTGCCAATTCTGTCCCAACACTACAAATATACATTTATGAAAAAATTAATTAAAAAAAGAATATTATAATACAGGTCCCCACTCTTCTTTTTATACAGCTACGATATTATCTACAAGGTGAGAAAATGAGTTAAGCTTACAATGAGTTAGTCCAATATTATTTAGTATGAATTTACGTTTATCCATAATCGAACTTAAAGTCTTTTAAGAAAATTTTAAATTTTAAAAAACAAGATCTTTCTCTGATCGTTTAAAAAAATTTGTTGAAAAAGTCTAATATGTCTAGATAAAAAAATTACTGTAATTCAATTTTAAAACTATAATTTCTACCCAAGAAACTACATACTCACTACAAATTCAAAATAAGTTGCAATTTAATCCGACTTGAAACTCTCCCGAATTAAAACCAAACAACTTAATGGAAAAAAACTGCAAATGCTTTTCTTGGCTAATTTACTTTCAAATACTTTAATAAAATTTAATGTAATTTATTTGAACCAAAAATTAATGTAATTTTAAATTTATGTACAAATTAACTTTCATGAAATCTATTTATTTGAAAATTAAATATCATGAAACTGACGCACTGTTTTCGAAATTCAACCAAACAAAGCATTTCTTTTCTGTTTATCTTGAAAATATAAAAAAATAAAAAATAAAACCCAAAAAACAAAGAAGGAAGAACGCAATACCAGACAAAAGAATGATAAGAAGCGAAAGCAAAAGGTGGCTGCTGCAGCACCAGCGCGCATGTCCCCATAAAAAGAAGGAGCAGCGGTCCAACCGTAAATTTCTCAACGCCACCGGGTTATTTACGTAAAAATAAGAAGAAAAAAGAGAGAAGGAATGATGAATATGATCCGAAAACACTGTTTGAGATTCAGCAGTTGGTGGTGGTGAAGAGAATTAATGGGGATGGTTTCTGAAAACCATTTTTCTTTTTCAAACCGCTCTCCAACTCCTAAGCTCTGCAGTTCCTTCACCACTCGGTAATCTATCTCTGTAACTCTACAACTCTTCTAATATTTTCTGTTTATTTTCTTCGTTTAACAATGCGATGTTCTAAACTACTCGAATCTAGAGAAATACAGGATTTAAATTCGGGTGTAAGGCCAGAGTTAAACCGGCCTAACTTACGTCTGCATGCTTTCTTCTGTTTAGCTCTTAAGCTATCAACTGCATGCTAATTACGCGATGTTTTATTAAGTTTTGTTAGTGTTCGTCACTTGCATAATATGATGCACGATATGTTTTTGTTTTCTTTTGATTTTCTCAACCCTGTTATGTTGTTATTTTAATTTTTCAACTGTTTTTTTGTTCTATATTTGGCTTGTTTTGTAAGTTTAATTTGGTGATGATTCTGTTTAAAATTCTTAAGTACAATTCCTGGATGTGGGGGCTCACAGAGTTCGTTAATTATTTAGCATATTAGACAGGACATAGCATTTTAAAATTAATTAATTAACATAATAGACAAAAACATATAAACATTTGGAAAAGTACTTTGAGATAACAGAAGCTTTGGCGCAAAACTGAGTTCAATGGAGTTCTAGGATTCATACAGCTAACTTTAGAATTTCAATGTTTCATGTAGTATCTTTTCAGATGTTGCCGGGGACATTACAATCGTCGTCGATGGAGAGTCTTTCTTGCTGCATAAGGTACACTCTTCTGTTTTGCCAATGCGAAGTTTTTTTGTTACCTGTTATTGCTACACACTAGGTCTTAAATTAATTATAATACAAGCTGTAGCATTGCATTTTTCTGTTTTGCTAATCCCACATGGTTCTATCCTGTTGAAGTTTCCACTGGTGTCTCGAAGTGGAAAGATTCGGAAAATGGTTGCAGATACCAAGGATTCATCGGCAAAATTGGAGCTCCTCGACATACCAGGAGGGGCGCAGGCATTTGAACTCGCAATGAAATTCTGTTATGGCATAAACTTTGAGATCACAACTGTAAATGTAGCCCATCTGCGTTGCGCTGCAGAGTACTTGGAAATGACTGAAGACTACAGGGATGAAAACCTTATTGCACGAACGGAGACTTATCTGAGTGAAGTTGTAGTTGAGAGTCTCGAAAAGTCAGTAGAAGTCCTTGCCACGTGTGAGACGCTACCTTCTATAGCGGAGGAGGTTGAAATTCCAAGTAGATGTGTGGAGGCTATTGCCATGAATGCTTGCAAGGAACAATTAGCATCAGGGTTGTCGATGTTAACTTGTGGCGGTGAGTCTACAGAGCTTAAGAGTGATCGTCTTGAGTGGTGGGTTGAAGATCTCTCGATTCTGAGGATCGATTATTATCAAAGGGTTATATGTGCTATGACAAGACTAGGTGTTCGACCGGATAGCATTTTTGCATCTTTGATGCATTTTGCTCAAGCATCCTTGAAGGGAGTCGGAAAATGTCAAATTTGGAATCCAGGAAAAGTGAATCCAATTGCTGGCATGGCAGAACATGACCAGAAAACCGTTGTGGAAACCCTCGTTAGCTTAATGCCAACGGAGAACAGTTGTTCGGTGCCACTGAGTTTTATGTTTGGAATGCTGAGAATGGCAATAATGGTGGATGCAACAATAGCCTGCAGGCTTGAGCTCGAAAGGAGGATTGCTTTACGGTTGGAAATGGTTTCACTCGATGATCTCCTTATACCCTTGATCCAAGCAGGGGGTTCTTTGTATGATGTTGACACCATTCATCGAATACTGGTGAATTTTCTGCAGCGGATTGAGGAAGAAGAAGAAAGCGAAGATTTTGGATATGAGTCCGAAGGCCTTGGTTCTCCGAGTCATGGTTCATTGTTGAAAGTTGGAAAGCTTATTGACTCATATCTAGCTGAAATTGCTCCTGATCCTTACCTGAGCTTACCAAAATTCATTGCCATGATTGAAATACTGCCCGATTATGCACGTGTGATTGATGACGGGATTTACAGGGCTGTGGATATATATTTGAAGGTAGATTTTATTCGATTTTGTGTTGCACGATTTTGGATTGAGTTCCCTTTATATTTGAATTGATTTTGTTTCGATGCTTATTTATTAGGTTCATTCAATGATGACTGAACAAGAATGCAAGAAGCTGTGCAAGTTCATAAACTGCCAAAAGCTCTCTCAAGAAGCCTGCAATCACGCTGCACAAAATGATAGACTCCCAGTGAAGATGACAGTGCAAGTCCTGTACTTCGAGCAGCTCCGCTTGAAGAATGCATTGTCTGGAAGCTCAGGAGACGGGTTCCCCTCGCAGAGAATAAGCAGGTGGTGTGCCAAGCGCAGCCATGTCCCCTCGAGACAACTACGCTTCGTTAAGGAGAGAAAACCGAGAACTGAAGCTGGAGATTTCGAGAATGAGAGTGAGGCTGAGTGAATTGGAGAAAGAGCAGTTGTTTATGAAACAAGGAATGATGGATAAAACAGGAAACGGGAAGACCTTCTTGACCTCACTCTCTAAAGGGATCGGAAGGATTGGGATTTTTAACGGCCAAGCGGGAGGCAAACCGAAGAAATCAGGTCGGAAGTCCCGAGGATCTGAGGGGAAAACTGGCAGGAGTAAAAGATATTCTGTTTCCTAGGTAGCTGCTTTGCTAAAACAAATATTGTCTTCAGAAGTAGTTTGCAGGTAGCTTAGAAGGTTTTGAAGGGATCCTGTAGTTTGTATCACGTATGCAAAGAGTAATGCTACATGTATCACATTTAGTGACCGCATTGTTTACAGAGATGGATTCTACTCGAATCCCACCTCATGTGATCAATAATGTGGTCTAAATGTTATACAAGTAGTTCTATTGATCTTTGAAATATCAATTAGAATCTCTTAAGTCTGTTTTATTTTCCTAACACATGAATTCGGAGTTTTTAGTAAACAATGTAACATATTATGAATTAGCTTACCCTAATTTAAGAGTAAGCTAAGAACCGTTATTTTCTGGAAGCAACAGTTCATCATCTCAGAAGTAAACTGCTAAACCAACAAAGAACAAGTCTTCTTCTTACTTGTAAGAAAGTACTCATCTGGTTTAACCTAAAAGGCGCTTCCGAATCTGCAGAGAAAGAAAGAAAGTAAGTGAACTTATCATGCAAGGTAAAGTTGAGTTTTGTTTTTCTTCCTAGTTTCGCTTTCTTTTCGATTCTGTTGTGCTGAATGAATGTCCAGATGAAACTTCATACTTTTGCTTAATCTTACCTCAGGCAGTTTCTGTCTGTACACGACATCCAACCGCGCATCAAGGGTGTTTTCGCACACAATCTTCCCGTCTTGGGAGGCCACCACCACTCCACCAGAACTTCCAAACAATCAAACCAAACAAAATGATAATGTGCATACAGCAGCCTATTGCATATATGTGCACAAATCAATGCAAGAAGAAAACTGAGGTAATGAGCAGAAAAGAATACCAATAGGGTTCATGGGAATCGCCGCCCTTCGGAGGAGGTGGGAGAAACACACGATCGTCGACAGTGATTTTGGGGGCAGGAACATTGGCTTTATCAGCATAAGCTTTCTTTACTTCCTCCAACACAGACTCAACAACCTTTTTGTCAACCTCTCTGCACCTCAGCAACACTGCTGGCTCCTTTAGCCGCAGTAAACTCTATAAACATACAAGTTCAAGAACATTTCCGGCACTTTAGATTAATACGTACAAACACAACCGGTTACAAACATTAAAGAGGTACTAAATCGTGGTTTATAAGCGACGATTTAAAGTTATTCTTCTTACGATGGTTGAGTACCTGAACAATCAAGTCTTTGAGGAGCTTCTTGTATGCCTTCTTGCCATCAGCAACTTTGAGAAGATCCTTGCCAGCAGATTCTTTCATGGAATTTACAATGTCATCTTGCGCTTGAAGAACTTTTATACGCGACGCGTTCAATTGCATCGAGTATTCGCTACGTACACCAAAATCAAACCCTTAAGTAATCACTAATAATCTTTTCAAGATAAATGGTAAAGATTAAGTGATGGATTAGCTTAGTGAGGATGAATGAAATAAATAAACTCACATTTTCTTTTTGACGTCCACCTGCTTTGCCTTGCGGTCATATTCTTGTCTGATCTTTTTCTTTTCAGCTTCAACTATTTGCAGTTTCTCAATGTTAAACTCCTGTCAACAAATTACTGAAAACAAATTAAAATCCCCATAAATATCAACTATTTATGCAATCAAATGTAAAAAAAAAAAAAAAAACAATGTTCCGATTGCTAATTTAATTTTCTAGGAACGAATCGAAGCGATGCATGACTGCCTACTGGTCCATTACATGTGCTTGGGTAGCAGTTTTGTATAGATGTATCACCATGCTATCAACGACTTTGAATTATAAGTTATTGTCTTTCAAGGAGATGGAATAGAATAACCCGATTGATGCGTAATGATCATACGTCTCTAATGTATATTGTATGCCCTCTTCCGGGAGTCTATTCATATTCATAGCTATTACCTTGACGGTTTGATTTGACATTATTAGTATATCGATATTTCCCCCTAATCAAATACTTCAGTAAATTTGTCGGTACATATTGCAGATTTTTTATTCCACCAGTAGATTGTGACAGCAAGACCACACTACACCACTTAGAATACCTAAGTACTCAAAATTAACAACATTATTATGATCACAGTCATGAAAATTGCAGTTGGCATGCTATGCAAATTGCAGTTGAGTGTAGAAAAAAGAAATGTATTATAAAGTACCTCCTCAGCAGAGACAGAAATCTCATTGGCTTTCTCTTCAGCCTCTTGGCGAATGAATCTGACCATCTGCTGAATCTGCTTCGACACATCTGCATCGTTCATCCTGTCAAGATTAAGATTGAACGTAAATGAATACGGATACGAATACAGATACGAGGTATGTATAGTGTGTTTAGAAGACTCTTGAGAAAAGCCCTCTCAGAGGGAATAATCTTGAATGCAAGTTAAGAAATGGGAGGAAAAAGGTGGAGTTGTAGTTTGTGCGACAAGCATTCCAATTAATCTGTGTTGAATAATGCCTATGTGAGAAGATTCGTCCGAACTTTTTGGAGTTTGAATACTTCCACATTTCCTCCTTGTTTCCCGAATATCTTTTCCATTGTTTGAGAGTTATATAACATGTACCAAAGATTCACATTGTTGGGCCGAAATTCATGGATTTATGTATTTTGTGAACATGGATTTGTAAATGTGTTTACTGCTACTCATCGATCTATATATCTATATATGTACATTTAAAATGATTGTGAACTGAGAGGGCTAGTATGGACCGTTACCTTGTATACTTCCTTTCTAATTTCATGTGTGGATATGATATCCCACCTAGAGTACTTTTTTTGTCTTGATTTCATGAGTGTTTTTGGAACCCTACTTTACTTTTAGTAGGTTCCATGTGGTTTTGGAACACTAGTTTTGTTCGGTTCCATGAGAGGTTCTAGTTGCCTACTTCATGTTAAATTTCATGAGAGGTTCTGGAATCTTGCTCTATTTCTTTGAGAGGTTTAGGAATCCTATGCATAACTTCTATATGGTTCCATGACAGGCCCTACTTTGTGTATCCTTGCTATCCAGTCCCATGAGGTTATGGAACGCAAAGTTTATGACGTCGCCCTAACCCTATTATTTTATTATATACATATGTGAAAGAAAAGCACGTTGAATTCTTGTGTGGATTCAATTGTGATTTGTGAGTGAGGATTATATTATATGCAAAGGATTGTGAAATGTTTTATAAATGAGATCAATTGACTTTATTCACATATGCGTCATATTAGTGTCACTCACATGAGCTTTATTTTTAATTATCTCTTCTTTGTAGTTGTGCAAGGAATGCCTTGCACTTTGATAACTCTTATACTGGATGCCCTAAAGACTTTTCTGTTTAATTTTATGTTTCTTCTAATAAAAAATTAAATAAAGAGCAATTGAAATTTAAAATTACGAAATTGCCCTCCAAAATGTAAATATCAAAATTTAAAATACGAGTAAGTAATGAACGACAATAAATACGGTGACATGCATCTAATTTGAAAGTTATGGAAAAGTAAGCTGAAGATGCAAAATGCAAAAGTTTGAGATACTCGAAAGTATTTTTCTTCTTATGCGAATCTTATTATATCATGATTTAAGGCACAACGTAAAATAGATTTTATATAATTATACTTTTCCGATAATATACATAGTAAAAGTAACAAGACCTCCACTAGTAACTCTGATAATATAAGGGTTTAGGGTTTGGTAATTCAGTTCATTAAGGGACAAAGTACATGGGATTTGGAAGCTTAAAAGTGCGGTTGCCAACACAATCTCCTTGAAGATCAGTCCACTGGTCTCCTATATTTCCCCAAATTCTGTAACCTTGTTCTACCAATTGCCTCCGAACGTTTGATTTGTACACAACTGCGCTCTGCCCTTTGTAAACTGGAGTCCTGCAATTAGGCACAGCGAACTAAATTAGGTAGTGACACAACAATAACAAACTAACTTTAGGTTGAGACACTACAATAATACTTGCCAATGTCCAATTACTTTCTTTAATTACTTAATCCCCAACCCATTAGAAGAATATATCAAGTTATTGAAACCTAGTCAACATTTGGTAGGTAGTGACATGTATTGATTTTGTAATTAAGCAATAGGATTACTGTAGAAGTGGAATTTTATTGTGACGGTTAAATTGTCAAACAGCTAACAATTTATGCAATAATGTAAGTAAATGATTTATCTGATACTTTATGGACATACATATAACCGCATGTGTGGATTGACAACATAACGTGTATAACACTTACTGGATGTATTCTCAAAAGTTGACACTTCTTTGTTATTGACTCGGATAATTCCAATGAATCCAATCATTAGGCTAAATTTGATACGGCTCATTTGGGGTTGGTTAAATTTTTTAAAAGTAGTTTCTTTTAAAGTTGGGGCTTTAATTGTGTTTGGTAAATGAAAAAAATAGAGCTTTTTTTTTTTTTTTTTCCCAAAATCATGGGTCTAAAACATCAGAAAGCAGAAGTTGCTCTATACATAACTTTTAAAAAAATACACGTTCTTCATTGGAGATAGGTAAACAGTACCAATTAATAAAACTTATTCTCATCTATTTTTTTGCTAAAAGCACTTTTAGCATTATGGTTTACCAAATACTCACATGTTTGTTTTTCACAACACAATAAAAGCGAAGAAAAATCAGAGTAACCCTAAAATAGTCGTAGACATGCTTTTGACTTGGATTGCTTCTAGTGCAATGAATCTTTTTGGTCTTTCAAACCCACTTATCCATTCAAACATGACGGAAGATTTATCATCATGAGATTTTCCTTTTCTCACTCCTTTTTCTATTGAGCCAATTAATGAACTCCTATGCGGTTTGACAAAAATCATCCATCGTGATCAATGAAAGAGGGATGCATGCACATATAGTATCACACACCATAACATTCTTACCTCAAAATTAGCCGTTCGTAACCAACAAATCCCTGATCATGCAAGTTTGCGGTAGTAATTTGGCCTAGGGTCGCTTCATCTCTTCCTGTGACCATGAACACCTTAAAGCCACTATTCACCAGCTTGCTAAAAAGTCCCAGCATACCAGGAACTGCTGGGCACCCTCCAGTCATTGCCCATGCCTTGAACCCAGATGAATCAAAAGGATCGCACCTGTATATTACAAAGTAGTCATGGCAAAATGAACTAGTAAATTCATAGGCTTAAATGTAAGCAGAACGTTCTCTTGACTAACAATGTGCAAATATATGATACTAATAGACTTCTGAGAATCTTAACCCCGCATTTTAACAAGAAAGTTCTAAACAATATGCATAAATGAATCTCTTGTTAGAGCGTAGGAACACAAGAAGCTTATATTGTTATACTGTGAATCTGAACCATACATGGTTGATGTATTTTTACTTTATTTGACAGTCTGACAATATATTTATCTGAAAACATAACTAAACATTACCCTATAAGTTTTGTAATATTTTAACATATATATTACGTACCCGTATCGCTTGCTCTTGTAGTAGAAAAGATTAGATATGCAAGTGTCATCCACGTCCAAAATCCAAGCATCCATGCCATCATCAGATAAAGCTATTCCAATCGCATAGCTAAGAACTTGGCCAACGATAAAATCAATGTCCCGTTCATACTGACCTCCGATCATGTAACTTTCGACATAGCGAAAGCACTGAATTGGCACCGTGCGCCACCCACGCATAGTGTTGGTCTCCACCGCCAGTCTCCAACTCAAACAGAAGCTGCTGTCGGACTGCGGCAGGCTTGGCCTATGGCAAGGCTTCACACTAGTTGCCTTGGAGAGTAAGGCCAGAAACAGAAGAACAAACGCCTCATGGGTCCGCTTCATCATTGCTCTAATATTCATGTGTGCTTAGTTTTATCTACAAAGAGAAGCAAATAAAATGGGAAACATATAACAAATTAATAAATAAATATGAAAATTTCTGGTTTTAAATGGGAAACACATATACAGGAAAACCTTCTCCCGAAGACGGCGACAAGAAAGTGTGTGGTTGCCGGCCGGAGGAAATAACAAAGTAAGTTTCCCAAATCAACCCAAATGGTTTTGGAGAAATTACAATCAAAAGAGCTTAAGAAAGAGGTTAGGGTTGACGAAATCTTTTGGGACTTTTGCATGTCATTTTCGTGGCTTTAACAAGGAAAGTGTGTTTTGGGCAATTTAAATATTTTGTTTCAACTTGTAAAATACAGCAGCTCAACTGGTGAAATGAGCCAAGTCAACTCATGAACTAAAAATCGACAAAGACCGAAGACTTATATAAGTTGTATGGCTGAACAACCTGGAAATTTCCAGGTAAATTATCCAAATTATAAATTTTTGAAGGAATATATTCATCCCCACATTGTTAAGCAAGGAGGGAACAAATGTTTTGATCGAATCACCAAAAATAGGATTTGAGGGTTGAAGAGAAGTTATACTTAAAAAACTATTAAAAAATATTGGAGTAAGAGAGACATCGTGGAAACTTCATCAGCACAAAAAATCTGACTTTAATTAGGTCTCTGCTGTTGTGATTTCAAAGGAAGGAACTTGAACTATACGTAAATCATTTTATATAGGAATTGAAATATTTTCTTGCCAAAGTACAGTAATAAATTTTAAAAAAGAAAAGAAAAAAAAAGGACTCGTGTTGCAGATATGGCATCATTTGTGTATACGTATGAAAGACTACGTAATGACCAACAATTGTCATTGGTTCAAAATTTGATTACGGTTGATTTGTAGAAGTACAATACGTTTCCACTAATTAGAGCGGCTCAAAGTGTACGCAATCTATTAATCCACATTTAATTACTTTTAATACAAGTTTATTTGTAAGTGATTTGTAATTCAATTGGTTAAGAACATTCGTTTATTCATTCGAGATTTCGTGTTTGAATCTCCCTTTCCGGAGTTTAAATGGTTAAGTGTAGATTATTCTATATCACTTATAAAAAAACAAGGTTATTTAAATTTTGATTACAAATTTTAAGGACAAATACGTGGAAGTAACCGAAAAACATAGAAATAGGGAAGATGAAGGAAATGGAATCTGGAGCAACCAGATCCTCCTAATTGATTTGATTCCTGATTTTTAAATTTTGATTACAAATTTAAGGAGAAATTCAAACTTTTTATATGTTTATCTGTGTTAATAAATACATAGAAACAGTTGAGAAGTGAAATAATTCCCATACTTTAGTAAACACATAAAACTCAAGAATCAAAATGGTTCTAATTCATATTCCCTGTAAGTAAACATGTATTAATTGTTAAGGACAACTAATATATAGATAATAGATGAAAAGGTTGTGATCAATCTCACAAAAGGCAACGATAGACAATTAAAAATTAAAGCTCATAACATGTGATAATTAATGAGAAAGAATGTAACCTACATGCATTGAGAATAAAAAAATGGAAAATATATACATAAGACTCAAATGTATGTCATGTAATTGTAACAAAAGATTACCATGGTTTTAATAAAACACAATCAATGTTGTAAAAATTGCAATTTGGAGCTTCTCCTTCAGAAGCTGCTAGCTTCCTACTCTTTAACTACTACTGCAATAGCCAATATATAGCTGATCTTCAGCTGCCCACAAACTAGTAAACTACTGCTAAGCAGGTAAGAATTTGAAGGTGATAAATGACATCAAGAATCATGATAGATTTAGACAAGGAATGAAAGAACTGAACCCTTGTAGATCCTTAAGTAGCAAAAATGTTGGGTGGGACGGCGTCATAAACCATGAACAATTGCGATGGTGGAGAGATACGTGTAAGAATGGCATGTATGGTCTAATATACTGAGATCAACCCTGGAGGTTTGTGGGGAAGGGTTAAGAGCAAAAGTGGGAATATAGTCACAGCCCACATGTCCTTACAGAAGTAGTGGATCTGCCGTCAGACTACTATGCACAAACACAAATATACTGCACCATAGTACACACCTATTGCATTTCTCTGTGTTGGGACAAATTATATCAGACAGTTTCAATTGGTATGTTTTTGCCACTTCCACAATGCACCGACCAACCAAAAGTCGGTGTGGCCAACATGTAGAAGAATGCACATGCACAGTGCAAGTTAGAAAACGATTTATATTTTTTTTTAGGTCCATTTGCAACAGAAAATACTTCACTTCTTCGTTCTTGAAATGAATCAATTATTTCTTCTAGACAAACTATAATTATATATATTTGATGTATTGCATTTTTTTAATGAACGATATTATCTTGATGTATTACATTAGAATTGAGCAAATTGGTGTTCCATTGCAATCTAATATGAGGCAGACAGATATATTTTTGGTGTATACTTTGTGGTTGTAAAAACTCTTTTTTTTTTTTTTAGGAAATCTCGACAGTACGAGGGGAGTTTTATTGATAGAAAAAAAAAAAGGGTACACTTAGTGAGGGAGGATATAAACATAACTCCTCATAATACAAGAAAAAGCATTAAAAATACATGAAAATGAATTGTGGTTGTGGAAACTAACGTAACGCATGCTGCAATTAAGCACATTTTCAAAGCACTACTTATGGAGCATAATTAAGAATCTTCAACTTACCTCGTGTACAAGGCATCAATGGGCCAGTGGGACAGGTTAGAAAAGGTCATAGCTATACTCGTGGAGCACACACCAATTCGAGGTTATGGATCAAAAAAATCAAAGGCCATTGGAAATGAAGGTCAAAAGGGGATCTAAATGAGAGATTGGTGGGAGATTGTGGAAGTTCTTCAGTGAAGGATATCCTACGCGAGAAACTCTTGGGTACGGCCACTATATACAACATCACACTCACAAGATAATGAAGTTAAGGAAAACATTTTTTATGGCATAAACTTTGTGACGGATAATTTTGGCCGTCTCAAAAGAATGACCTTTCGAAACAGAACTTATGCCGTGTCAAAAGCATTGAGTCGTTACAACAACGGCATCGGGTAATCTCGTTGTCGCAACCTTGTTAGCATTTGCGACAATGGCATGTTGTCCGAAGGGACGTTTTCCCTAGTAATGTCCCATCCCTTGTAGCAAGCCCACTATGATTGGAGCAAACTGGATCTGCATTAAGGCATATCCTAGCTAGTTTAGGGTTAGGCCCCCCCAAACAATGAACCATTATATTAGCATGACACGTGGCTCTGGTGTTTGTCCAAACTAACGTTGCTTTCTTATTGATTTTATCATATTGTTACAGCCTTAGAGAAAGAAGCGTCAGAGAGATTCATGCATGTGAAGAAGGTACGTTGACAAGTTCTTTGAAGATGAAATAGTATTACGTGTTGTTTGCCAATTTATAGTCATGTATCCTTTACTTTTGGGGCACGATTCCTACCCAACCTCACATGCTTCAACTCGAATACCACCGACAGATTTTACTTTATATTATGATGATATAGCTTTGCTTCAAAGCAAAACTCCGATCTCACCAAATTTAATCCACCAGAAAAACCTTGGTAGTGCTAACTATATTTAATGTATAACACTAAGAAGCATCATGGATTAAAAAGTAAATCAATTGTAACTTCCTAAGTCCTACAGTCCAAATCATGTCAGTGCATATATTCATAATGACTTTTGTGATGAATTTTACGTATTTGCCCCAAAATTAATGTGTATTTTAAATTATTTATATGAGTTCATAATTAAGCTTGGTTTGGGAATTTGAGACGGATACCATAAAGTTCATGTAGCAATTTAGCGTTAACAATTTAAATTTAAAGAAACTGAAAGTTCACAATAGTTTTATTTTTCTTATTACATTGGAGGAAATCGAACTCCTTACTTATACACAAATTTTCATTGGTCTAGTAATTTAGTCTAGTATTATGGATGTAGTTGACAGATTTTTCGAAAATAATATTTTTAAAATTTATAATATTTCAAGGACTAAATCGATATTTCACTCTACATGAATTGATAACACATACTGAAAGGATCTTTTAAGTGGTGATGTGTGATTTTAGAGCATTTCCAATAACCTAGCTAAAATGAGGCTTTTTGGCTTTTTACCTAAATGAGGCTTTTTGACTTAGTACTACGGTCTAGTGGTGTTTTTCTTCACTTGTAAGTGAGAGGACTTAGGTTCGATTCTCGCCAAAGGCACATTATTGTTAGTTCATTGTGAGGCTAAGCACACCCCCTTCCCTTTAACGTAGATAATATCGTTTGTTCAAAACAAAAAACCAAAAAAAATAGAAAAAACAAGCTCCAACATGTTAGCTAATTAAATGACTAGCTATTTTAACTTTGCAAACAGTGATTAAATTTAGGTAAGAAGAAAGAGAGTTAAATTTTTACCAAACATTATTGCATTGTTTATGGGCTTCATGAGAAGAAATGGGTTGTTAAGATTATGAAAAAATAATCTCACTATATTTTAACTTAAGCTAAAATAGCTAATAATGTCCAGTAACCAGCCAAATTAATTTGAGTCAATTGGCTAACTATAATTACAAAAATTTAGCTAGTATTGTTAATTAAGTGTTCTTCCATTATTGTTTAAGTACTGGTTTGGTACTTAGATGTGCTTTTATAAAAAGTGGGTATCAAAAAAAGTTGATCTAAAAAAGATGTTTGGTAAACACTTAAAGACTAGCTTATTTTCACAGTTTTGTGTGAAAAAAAGCTAAAAACAGTGAACAGCAAAAATGAGCTTGTTCCCACAGCACAGTAGGAGCAGTTTTTTTTCAAAACACAACAATACAAAACTAGCTCTAAGTCTTCTTGGGATTAAGATGGTGATTTGCCATCAAGCCGTGTGACCCATCTTGGTTGTGCACATGTACATAAGAAGATAGTTAGCCAACGCTTGTCATTAACCAACTGCATGTCAAGTCCTTCATTTCGAGAGATTTTTTAGTGTGATTGGAATTCAGACTGTCGAGTTTATGATCCAAAGTGTTTATGTTATAAATCAATCTATAAATGTCATGTTTGAGAAAAATCAATTAAAACTAAGATCATTGAATTGTGTAAAAACATTGGATGGATAGTAAAAGCAAGGTCATCAAATTGTATAAAAACACTAAACGGATGGTAAAAGCATAATGAATTTTCTATCTATTTTCTACAGTTGATCAACTGAATGACCTTAATTTTAATGCATCAGACACGAAATTTTGAATAGAACTTCTACTCATCTTTCGGTATTCAAACGTTGCTCCTAAAAAAAATTAAATGGAGAAATCTTCAAGTTGCAAACCCCAGTAGAGTCAAATATGTCGGCTTATCACGTTCTGTAGTGGTTGTTTTTTGTCGGATTATTCGTCTCCAGTGCTTCTGCATGAGGAAGCATCACGTGGCTAAGTCATGCTGGGCTTCGTATGTTGGCCCGTAAACGCCGCACCCTTCGTTTTCTCACATGGTCCAGCACTATTGGGAGCTTCTGATTACCTGATGGGTAAGTCAGTCCCGGGACTATTTCATTGGAGAAGCTTGGATGCCATGGGCCACTGCTGCCCATTCGCGATTTCGGATTGCATTGTATTTAATGATTACGATATATTTGACAAAAATATATAACTATGATTATGATATAGTACCATGGTTGGTACCTCCTAGAAAATATTGTGTCACGTCCCTTTTCTAAATAAATAAAGTAATTAAATAAGGTGTCACGTTACATTTCTATTTAAACAGACCGAAAACTTTAGTACGCTCATGTCTATTCTATACGCCAAGATTTGCGGTCATTAAATCTTGATCTCTAAATATAAAAAGCTTTAACGATTTCACTATTAGGTTTTTTTTAGCTAAAATGATCACTGGATTTGCATAAACACATCACTTTGGTTCCTGAAATTTGAAATCAATAGAAGTGGTCCTTGAAATTGTCCATCATCAATCATTTTAGTCATTCCGTGCAAATTTCTGTTAAATAATAACCAAAATGATAAATATACTCTCAATTTAATAAATAATGGGCCAAATGATTTGACAAAAAGTAAAGGTATTTTGGTCATTTTATTCTTATTTAATGGAGATTTTTCACAAAATGACCAAATTGATTGATGGTGAACAAACTCAGGAACCAATTCTATTGATTTCAAATCTTAGGGACCAAAGTGAGAAATTATACAAATCTTAATGACCATTTTGACGAAAAAGCTTAAGTTGTATGGTAGTTGAATGAAAAAACATGAAATATTTCGATCATAAAAAAATTAATTCAATATTTGAGAGGCGTTTGATTAAAAGGTGAACATATATTTTGATCATGCATGGATTAAACGTGGGAGTCCCTTTTATGAGCTAAAGTTAATCAACCACCACAAAGTGTGTGTAAAAATTAAGATGCATGCGAAACACGTGAGCATAAAGGTAGCTAGGATTTTTCCATGCAAAGAGGATAATACGTTATTATATTCC